AGGCAATGGGTTCCAGATTCGAACAACTCGCTGCGTGAAAAAATTCCTTCTCCCCTCCCCTCGGCTTCTTTTGGAGACGATTTTGAATCTGTGACCTCGAGTCACCAACACACCCACCAGTGGAAACAGTTTTTCCCTTTCTAACCTATCAAATCCCCTCATGATTTTGAAGACCTCCATTAGATCTCCTCGTAACCTTCTCTGCTCCAATGAGAATAATCCTAACCTCTCCAGCCTTTCCTCATCATCACGGCCCCTCATTCCTGGTACCATCCTCGTAAATCTCCTCTGTACCCTTTCCAATGCCTTAACATCCTTCCTATAGTGCGGTGCCCAGAACTGGGCGCAGTATTCTAACTGAGGCCTAACCAGTGTTTATATGGGTTAATCATAACCTCCTGACTCTTGTACTCTATGTCCCTATTTATAAAGCCTAGTATCCCATATGCCCTTTTTACAGCCTTATCTACCTGTCCTGCCACCTTCAAGGATTCATTTACCTGCACCCCCAGGTCACTCTGTTCTTTCACCCCCTTAAGATTGTATTACCAGCCTATATTGCCTCCCCTCATTCTACCAAAATGCATTACCTCACATTTCTCCACATTGAAACTCATCTGCCATGTGTCGCCCATTTTACCATTCTGTCTCTGTCTTCCTGCAGTCGGCTGCTATCCTTCTCACTGTTTACCCCCTACCTAACTTTGTGTCGTCCGCAAACTTGGCAATGGTACTTGCTATACCCAAGTCCAGATCATTTATGTATATTAAGAAGAGCAGTGGTCCTAATACCGATCCCTGGGGGACACCACTGTACACTTCCCTCCAGTCAGAAAAGCAGCCGTTCACCACAACTCTCTGCTCTCTGTCTCCCAGTGAGTTCTGGATCCGCTGCCACTGTCCCTTTTATACCATGGGCTTCTATCTTTCTTACAAGTCTTTCATGTGGCACTTTGTCAAATGCCTTTTGAAAGTCCATATAAACTACATCAACTGCACTACCTTTATCCATCCTCTCCGTTACCTCATCGAAAAATTCTATTAGATTTGTTGGACAAGATTTGCCTTTAACAAATCCGTGCGGCTGTCCGTAATTAACCCATATTCTTCCAGGTGAAGATTTATTCTATCCCGGATTATAGTCTCCAGGAGTTTCCCCACTACTGATGTAGGGCTGACTGGCCTGGAGTTCCCAGGTTTGTCCTTCTGTCCCTTTTTGTTCAGGGGAGTCACATTGGCCACTCTCAAGTCCTCTGGCAACACCTCTGTGTCCAACAAAGATTGAAAAATGGTAGCTAAAGCCTCCGCTGTTTGTACCCGTGCCTCCCATAGTAACCTTGGCTGCATCTCGCCCAGACCGGGCGACTTATCTACCTTTTCAGTACTTCAACTCTGTTTATACTTATCCTATCCATTTTCGCTACCCTCTCCTCCAATACTGTTACAGAAACGTCGGTCTATACCTCTCACTGTTGTATCCCCTATAACAACAGCATTGCTCCTGTTACCTATGTCCCCCTGTTCCACCAATCGGTTTTCACTGTCCTCCCTGGAGATATCAGCACTCTCCATGTTCAGTACAGAGTACTGATTTGAGAGAGCTACACTATTGGGGAGATTCTGCCCAGCCCGTCCCCTCTTCCTACCGTGCCGGACAGTCACCCAGTCATTTTCCGTCTGAACCCTCAGTGTGTGGGATGGGGTGACCACCTCTTGAGGTGTCTGGTCCATCAAATACTCACATCCGTTGATCAAGTTTGAAGCCCAAGGCTCCATCACCCCTCTCTCAGGGTTCCCATTATCTGCAGGACTGATGAAACCATCCTGTCCCTGAGCATTAACCAGATGCAAGCATCTCCCGAGCCTCAGGGGAGTGATGGTTTCCTCCGACATACTGTCCAGGAAACCTCTCACTGTCCCTGTACAGTGTGTCCTGAGAAGTGCCTTGAGACGTGATAAGGGGCTGTACGAATGCAAGGTTTATTATTATTATTTACCGCAATTTTAACGTTAACGTTTATATTATGAATTCCAGATGCTCTGCGTCTGCCTTGGTTTGCACTTTGACCCGACAACGGCCCAGATCCGTTCTTCTTCCTCTCGTCTCTTTGATCGTGGGCAACATCGCCATCTAATGGCTGATGATAATAATAATAATAATAATAAAAATAATCCTTACATTTGATATACAATACAAAATTACATTTACACGGGGTCTGTCATGTTTGGAGGACGTCCCAAGGCGCTGGGCAATCAGGGATTTGGACCTGAGCTGGGGGTCGGATTCGGGGAGGATGGAGGATGGGGAGGGTACGTGTTGGAGGGTGGCTGAAGGCACCTTGAAAGAGGCGATTGAGAGAGCGACGTGAAGGGAGCGTCGGATAGATTTCCAGAGGTTGGGGGCAGAAAGGCTGAAGGCCCGACCGCCAATGGTGGGGCGGGCCAGATGGCTGAACAGAGGGAGCGGATTTTGACTCTATCCTCTGGGGAATGGGGAGGCAGTGGAGTCGGGCGAGGGTGGGGGTGATGGGGTGCAGGAGAGGACACGGGCTGCAGAGTTCTGGATGATCTGCAGCTTGTGGAGCAAAGAGTTGGGAAGGCCGACAAGCAGGAGTTGGTGTAGTTGCGTCTGGATGTGATGAATTTGTGGATGAGGGTTTCATCGGCCTGAGGGGTGAGACAGTGGCGGAGCCGGGCGATGTTGCGGAGGTGGGGGGAAGGCAGAGCGGATCATGACATGGATGTGGGGTAGGAAGGACAGTTGAAGGTCAAACAAGACGCAAAGATTCTGGACTGACTCAATGAGGTGGAGTGTGCATCTGTGGATGCTGATGCTGCCAATGCCTCAAGTGTGGAGGCGCTGATGGAAGACAATCAGGAGAGCCTCGGTCTTGTTGGCATTCAACTGTAGAAAGTTAGCTCTCATCCAGGACTTGATGCCTGATACACATTCAATCAGGACAGCAGTGGTCCTGGAGTCGAGGGTGGAGGCAGAGAGGTACAGTTGGGTGTCATCCGCATACATGCGGAGGTTGACCTGTCTTCGAGACGTTTCAAAGTGTTTCACAGAATATACTGTAAATTGAATTGACTGCATAATTTGTGGGCAAAACAGGGCAGTCAATTGCGCACAGCGGTGTCCCATGAACTTAAACAGTGGTTGATTGAGTAAGCAAATTAGTTTTATTTGCCTTGAAGGATTTATTACCCCCTGGAAAAGCGATCCGCCATTCGACTAAAAACCGGGTTCCTAATTACTGCTGGGTAAACAATAATAATAATAATAATCCTTGCATTTGATATAGCATTTTTCACGTCGGGAGGACGTCCCAAAACGCTTCACAGAACACACTGTAAAGTGAATTGACTGTATATTTGTGGGCGAACGCGGCGGCCAATTGCGCACAGCGATGTCCCACAAACAGTCGTGGATTGAAAATGACCAATTTATTATTGTTTTTGGTTTTGGAGCGATTATTATTAGGCTCTGTGTGGAGTAAGGAAACTTGCCCAAGGTTTCGCCCTCTGCCTGGGACTCGAACCCAGGTCCTCTCACTTGCGAGGCGAGTGCTCTCACCAATGAGCTACAAGACTCACTGCCAATGATAGGTTGGACACCTCTGATCCAGTGCAGTGTTGGGGGGGGGGGAACGTTGCATTGTATTGTCGGAGGGGAACTGGTGATGGGGGGGAGGGGGCAGAAATATGTTACACCCCAAACCCCCTCTAACTCCGAGTTGCTGATATTTCAGCTTCACCGTTAAACTATAAGATGGATTCTGCGCGGCAGAAACTGTCGATCGCACCAGAGACGCTCTTACTGCTGACTGGCAATGGGAAGTGCTGTAATTCTCCATTGGTCGTCGCCTTCCGTCAATCATCGTCCTCCATCAGGTCCGCCCCCCCCCACACCTCCCTCCACCCCCTCCACCCAGCCCCCTCCACCCTCCCCCCCCCCTCCCACAATCCGACCATTGGCTGGAACTGTTGTACTTTCCACAAAATGTTGATGGTAATTTGGTCGCTCAATCCATGTCTGGTTGTGCCCAATTGGCTGCCGCGTTTCGCCCCCAAAATCCCGCTTTACGGTATACCCCGTGAAGCGCTTTGAGACGTCTCGAAGACGTGATAAGGAGGGGCCGTATCGAATGCAAGGATTGTTGTGGTTAAAAGTTAAACCAATGTCCCGTTTGCCCGCTCAGGTGGGTATGAAAGATCTCGTGGCGCTATTTCTGGAATGGAATGCGCACCCTCGCTGTGAATGGGCACATCCTGTTTACCTCAATCTGGAGAGTGGGTATTGGGCACAGGTTGGCAAGACCCAAGGCTTTGGGACCTTGGAGTGTGTGCATTGGGGATGGAGTAACTGCTGAAACTTTAGCAGCTAAAACCATATAGCTTGCCAGATAGCTTGACTGGCTCCGGCCTCCTCCTTGTCCCCTGGACCCGCCCCCCCCTCCCTCACTCCACCACCGGTGACTGCGCTTTCAGTCACTACGCCCCGAAGCTGTGGAACTCCCTCCCTGAATCCCTTCGCCTTGCCCCCTCTTCTCCCCATTATCAGGTCGCGCTTGAAGACCTTCCTATTTGACCGTGCCTTGTGTCACCTTCCCCCCTCCCCCCAGCTCCGCCACCGTTAAGCGCTCCGAGACGCCGTCAGGCGCGAAGGGCGCTGTATAAACACAAGTTGCTGTTGCTTGTCCTGTTAGGACCACCCTACCCCTTTAGGGCTTTGGGTTTCAGGGCGCATAAGAGCTTGGTTGGGAAGAGCCCATACTGCTTCACTGAATGGTGATTTACCGTGAGGGGCTTCGAAACATTTCGGGATTACACGCGGCGCATCGAATACAACGATTGTGATCTCTTGCGAGGCGTTATTTGGTACGTGTGCTTCCGTAATTTCTTAGTCAAAAAGTGCTTAAAAGCTTGACTTCACTCCAAAGTCACTCTCTTCTCCAGAGCGTTACTAAATAGGCACTGAAACACAATGAGCACAAATGAGCAGGTGAAGCAAAAGTTTATTGTAGCACGGAATGGAACAGAAAACCAACCCCTGCCGCGAGAAGGGTAAAGAATACAATGTTGGGACTAAACATCTTGCGTTAGCTCTCTTCAGTCGGAAGTGAAACATTTCCTCTCTAGTTTTGCTCAGATCTCGATAGACATTGCTCACTAAAGTGTGGCAAAGCGACAGCCACTGGATAGGAGAGTTCCCTGGGATAATTCTAAGCCTTTTATCAAAGCTACCTCACCGTGTAGGTGTGGTGCATCAGCCCCAATCGGGGGTTATGAGAGAGGGGAATAGGAAGGGCAGGGGACCCTCATGTGGCATGTAAACACCAGCTGAATAGTCTGAGTTAGTGCTGAGCCACTTGACGTGACTGTCTATCTGAATTAATGTAAGAGTATCTAAACCAGGCTGAGAGTTCAGCATATGCACGCTCTGTTCTACGTTCTACGTCATTGAGATAGCTCTGGTGAAAGGTGACTGATAGCGGGACTGGCAAGAGGCAGGGAGTTAATCAGGTCTTAGGACCTCAGCTCTGTCATGGTCTCGGATGTCTTGATTCCGTCCTGTGATTCAATGGTCTTGACGATCACCTTCTTGCTGGTCGACACACCGTAGCCTCCGGACATCATCCCCCCGTAGCCTCCGGATGAGCCGGACGTCAATGAGGAGCTCTCCATCTGGAAGGCACCTCCTCCATAGCCGCCTCCCAGGCTGGAGCCGTTGGCCATTCCACCAAAGTGTGACTGCTGCTGGCCTGGAAACGGAGAACGCAGCAAAAGGGAATTGTTTCAAACCTCCATCTCTTTCTTTTGGGGTCAGCCGGATGCCGGACACATGCAAGAAACCCATCCCAGTGCTTAAGAGTTTCCAAACCAAACTGAGAATTCCACACATAGAAACAGGAGGAGGCCATTCAGCCCCTCGTACCTGTTCCGCCAGTCATGACTGATCTGTGCCTCAAGTCCAATTACCCGCCCTTGCCCCTTATCCCATAATACCCTGACCCAACAAATATCTATCCACCTCCGTCTTGAAGATGTGAATGGATCCAGACACAATCCACAGCCTTTTGGGGGAGAGAGTTCTACACATGGAAATGATTCCAGAGATAGGCTGTTGGAATGGATTGTAGTCTCGCTCTCTCTCACTGGAGGGACACATCCTGCTTACCTAATTCTGGAAAGTATTAGGCACAGGTTGGCAAGAGCCAACGCTTTTCCTTGCAGGGTTAACAGGAGCCGAGTGGGAAGAATCCCCGGCCCCAGTCATTATTGACCCACAAAATAAGTAAAATAATAAGTGGTTGATCGATGCAAAGAAGCCTAAACATCCTTTTCTCCTGATCACGAGAGAGTCTGAGATCTTAATAGGAATTGACGGTTTTCTTACCCATTCCTTGGGATGTGTGGATGTTGAGGGTCTGGATGCCGGTGATAAGCCTGGACATAAAGTAGACATTTATATTAAGAAAGTCCCGAAATGAAGACCAGCGATTGTGCTGTGTTTACCCCCAGAGTCTGGTGATTAATGCTGTCGTCCTCCTGTTATAATACAGTCCTTGCGTTCTTAAAATCAACAGTAACGGCACAACACTGCCAGGTCATTAGTCATCACGGATATCATTCCTGTGTGGTGGCCGCTATGCGCAGGAAGTAACTCCGATGCCAGTTCCTGTGCTGGTGTGCTATGCGCAGCAAGTGTTAAGAATGCCGCTTCCTCTTCACTGCTCATGTGCCAAATACTGACCAGACAGTGGCACAAGTGCCACAGATCTCTGGTATACAATGGGTTCACGATATAGTGCTCCAAGACCCTAACCCGCCGCGAGGGCGCCATATAAATGCACGTTGTTGTTGTTGCTATAGAGTGACCCACGCTGTATGTTCCAACGACTGTCGTCAGTCTGACTGTTGGTAATTTAGCCACAGGCTTGAGTCGTGTCTTACCTGTCTTCCTCTCCCTCCAGGAGTTTCCTGTAGGTGGCAATTTCGATGTCCAGAGCCAACTTGACGTTCATCAGTTCCTGGTATTCACGCAATTGGCGAGCCATGTCCTGCTTGGCCTTGACAATAGCGGCCTCCAGCTCTGTGATCCGCACCTTGACGTCACGGAGACTTATCTCACCGCGCTCCTCGGCTTCTGTAATCTCAGCCTCCAGCTTGGCACGCTGGGTGGAATCAAAGAGCAACTTTCAGCCGTCTGACAACAAGGGTCTGAAACCAACAGGGATTTACCCCATAATGACAACCGATCCCGCAATAGACTTGTGTTCAGGCTTCACCTACCTGCGCTCTAAGCGCCTCGATATCAGAAGTCAGTCTCTGGATCATCCTGGTCAGGTCGGTGATCTCAGTCTTTGTTGAGCGAAGATCATCACCGAATTGTCCGGAGCTTGAGGACAGTTCCACCATCTGGAATGTGCAGGAAGTCCGTCAGTTACCCTGCGTTTCAGCAGCAGCTGAACAGACCTCAGTATTTGTGGGTTCAGTTTTGTACTTTGTATTCTCCGGTGTCAGTGAGAGAGCCTTCAGCCATTAATAGCCCTGTTCTCTGGAACCCCATCCTGGAGTCCCTCGGCCCCCCTTCCCCTCTGTCCCTTTAAAGTCCGCCTGAAGACTTCTCTTCTCAACCATGCTTTTTGGCCCCTTTCTTGCCCAACTCCCCCCCACCATCCCCGGCTCCATGAAACGCTTTGGGACCCATGTCCTCTCGCTTGGGAGGCGAGTGCTGTGATGGTGAGCTATGTGCCGGGAGCTCTGCGATGTCACTCCCTGTGATGGAGGGCTGTATATAAATGTACGGTTGTGGGCGTGTGGGTGTACCTTGGCGTTTCTCCACTCCTCGCACTGCTGTTTGGATCGTTGTGCTTGACGGTCATACTCGGCCTTGACCTCGGCGATAATCTGGTCAACATCCAGGTTGCGGTTGTTGTCCATTTCCACGGTAACAGATGTATCCTGGATCTGAGCCTGCAGCTCACGGATTTCCTGGAGATTGAAACGGGAAGAGACGTGGGATCAGGAATATTCGAAACACCCGCTTTAGNAAAAAATCTAACCTTAACTCGGGCCTTTCTGTTCATTTATTAGGTCGGGGAATTAAGGGATATGGGACAAGGGCGGGTGGTTGGAGTTGAGGTGCAGACCAGCCGCGATCTTATAGAATGGCAGAACAGGCTCAAGGGGCTGAATGTCCGACTCCTGTTTCTACTGTCAGGTGGTAAATCACAGGACACAAGCAATCATGTCATTAGTACCTCATCAAAGATGTTTCGCAGGAAGTTGATCTCATCGGTGAGACCTTCCAGTTTAGCTTCCAGCTCCACCTTGTTCATGTAAGACTCGTCGACATCCTAGCGGAGGACAGAGAGACAGAGGACGTTCTTCAAGAAAAGTTTTTAACAAGTTTATATTTAAAGTAGTTCAGATAAATGGACCTCACGATTTACCTTCTTGATCAGGACAAACTCGTTTTCCATTTCGGTACGCTTGTTGATTTCATCTTCATACCTGTGACCAAACGAGCATTTTATTGACAGTGGCTTTATAGAAACACGTCGTCAATATGATTGATCTATTCATAATTGTTATTAACCCCACGTCTGTGTAGCGGGGGTGGGCGGGGGGGAAGTTTAACCAGTTTACTTACTTGTTCTTGAAATCCTCAACCATAGATTGCATCTGCAGGAGACTGCCCTCTAGGTTCACCTTCTCCTGTCCCAGAGTTTCCAGCTGCCTCTTGAGGTTCTCAATGTAAGCCTGGAACATGGAGTCGATGTTGGAGGCGTAGGTGCCCTGGTTCTGGAGGAATTCCAACTTGGTCTCCAGCATTTTATTGGTCTGTTCCAGCATACGGACCTGGGGATTGCAAGGTGGCTTTGTTAACGGGGGCCAGAAAAACAGGGGTCAACAACAACAACTTGCATTTACACAGCGCCCTTCACGCCGGGCGGGGTCTCGGAGCGCTTAGGAGGTGTCACGGGAAGGAGTGAGATGTGCAGAAAACGAGCTGGGCGGGGGGAATGGAGAGATATTGGAATGGGGAAAGGGGAGAGGAAATTGGGATGAGTTCTCGGCATAGTATATCGAAAATAAGGACAAAATGCAACGTAAGGCAATTCATAAATAAATAGTTACATGACCCCCAAGGGATGGTCTATTAAGTGCGGCGATGAGAACAGAGTAGAGAGAGAAAGACGAGAATAATAATCCTTGCATTTGATGTATCTCCTTATCATGTCTTTGCTTGCGAGGCGAGCTCTCTGACCGCTACTCTACGGGAAAATTTTGTCTGCGCTCTCTCCTGAGTCATGTTTCTCCCCTGTTTCGAAACTCTATTTGGCGTGTGGGGTGAGGAAACTTGCTTAAGGTTTCACCCAAGTAGACAAGGTTTGGACGTACAGGCAGAGAGTGGGGGGTGTTGTGGGTGGGGTGTCATCAAAAGTGGTTTAAGATGCCATCTGATCGATGTGCAGATAAATACCTTATCGATGAAGCTGGCGAAGCGGTTGTTCAGCCCGAGGATCTGGTTCTTCTCCTGCTGCCTTTGGGCTTGGAGAGCGGGGTCCACTGGGGCGACGGTGGCATTGAGATCCAGGTTGACAGATGACCCAATTCCGATGCCAGTTCCGAAGCTGCCTCCCAAACCTCCATAACCACCTGCGAAATTACCTCCCGCACTGCTTCCATACATTCCCATCATCCTGCCACCACCGCCACCAGCCATGGAGGAGGAATAGGACATTCGGCTTCTCGATGGACTGCCAATCAGGGACATCGCGCGTCTCCCTCCGCTCACTACTCTTGCTGAGGATCTCCTCATACCACCGCCCAACGCCACGCTGCCGATATTCAGACCACCACCGTAGTTGGAGCTACTACTACCACCGTAGCTACCACCACCACCGTAGCTGGAGCCACTGCTGGTGATCTTGGTGGTCGTGTAGCCTTTCCTCGTCGACATCCTGCAATCTGGATTTTTTGCTCGAGGAGCGACAGGCGAGAGGAGAGTTAGAAGCAGAAGGTGTCTGTGAGGAGTTGAGCAGGTGCGGCGCTGCTTTTATCCGCTCTCTCTCCCAGCGCTGGGGCTGGGCCGGGTGTCAGGTAACAAGCGTCTCAATGGAGCAGAGCAGCCAAGGGAGGAGCCAATGGCCTGACATTGGGATAAGTTCTCACCTGCCCCACACCTGGCCCCGGCCTGTATCCTCAGGGCAGTTTGCAGTCCAAGTCACTCACTTAACTAAGCTTCCCAACTGCACTCACATTACTTCAAACCTAATCGTAAAAGACCAGGACAAACCAACAAAGCAGAAGCACAAGGAAAAGCCATTTTTTTAAATATTCTGAAGTGGGTAAATTTGACCAATGACCCTGACAATCTGTGGCATTGCCCACAAAGGACCAGGCAATCTTTTCTTTTCATTATTGTTATTATTATTATTTAGGGCAAAATTGTGCTCCAAAAATCATTTGGCATCGACAGACGGAAAACCCTTCAGCATCGTTGCTGATTGCTTCCAAATACAACTTGACTCGATGTTTTGCTAAAAGTCTCAACAGCAACAACAACAACAACAACAAGATTACATGTGTACAGCGCTTTCACGTCGGGAGGACATCCCAAGGCGCTGGACGGTGTACAGCATTTTAGACCCGAGGCTGGGGTCAGGGGGGAGAAGGGAGGGGAGGGGAAGGGGGGGGGTGACCGATGGCACGGTCGAAGAGGAGGGTTTTGAGGCGGGACTTGAAGGAGGTTTTCCTCAAAGTGCTTCACAGGGTTTGCACCTTATAATAATAATATTAATAATCCTTGCACTTGACGTAGCGCCTTATCACCTCTTTGAGGCATCTCAAAGCCAGCCTCGTGCTTTGAGGGTGAAGACAGCAGCCAGTTTGCAAGCAAACATCCCACAAACAGCCATGGATTGAATGACCAATTTTACTGGGGCGGCTGGCGGGATTATTAGCCAGAGCCCCGGGGAGAGGAAAAAGCTCCCAAGCACGAGAAACATCACTTATCTATTTATTTTCCCTTCTGCCTTTTCACGCAGCATTCGGGTCTGAGCGCATGAGGCTGCAGGGTATAAGGGGTTAACCCCAGCTGCTCAGCCGCACCCTTTGCTGTAGTCAGCAGAGCCAACGATTCACTGGGCAAAAATGCAATTTTTTTTTTCATACGCACTGGAACAAGCAAAAAAACTGAGGCAGAAAATGCCTTTTATTCTTTTTCACAAAAAAAAGAGACGAAAAAATAAGTTCAAATCACCGTTTTTTCACATTTTCCCAAAAGAAACTGCTGTCGGGGAAACTTTTTTTTTCGCTTTGCAAAACTCCAGACGGTAATATTTATGCCCGGTATTATTTATTTACCCCCACACCCACCCATACACACACACACACACACACACACACTCATCTCTTTCCCCCCCCAACCCTAAAAAAGTCCCCTGTTGACTTTCACCCACTCGTTCCTCTTTAAATTCACGGTCACTACACTTTACAGTTAAAAAAAAATGATCCCGCGTGATGTTTCGACTGCGAGTGGTGAGGGGGTGTCAAGTGGAAGGGTTATTATTTATCATGAATGCGTTCGGTTTGATTTAATCGGCGAAAAAAAACAAAAAACAGTGCTCCAAAGATCTTTCGGCTTCAATAGGGTTCTCTTTCAATCATTGAGAGGGAGAGGGGTGAGAGGGGTGAGAGGGAGACGGTGGGGGAAGAGGAGCAGCTGCTGATTTTTAGTGGGTGTCTTTGCCCCGTTCCCACCACCCGGAGGATTGTATTGACACATCTCTCCGCTCTAAGGGGAAGGTATCGCTGAGACGCTTGTTGGTTTTGGATTGTCTGTCACTGCTGATCGATGCAAAGACCCGCCCGGCTTCTGCTTATGCAAAGCAGGGAGCCGCGGCTCTGAGGGAGCGGCCGAAAAGGTTACCACACTCGCAAAGAATGTGTCTCGCAGTCTGCCTGAAAGTGGTTCATCCGAGACCCACATAGAAGAAGTGTGTTTGCTTCCCAGCCGCTCGGCTCTGTGCGCTTGTTTGTTTGCCCGGCCGGGGTGTCCGACCCACTGGGAAACCCATCACCGTCGCTGTGGGGTCCTGTAGCTCAGTGGTCGGAGCGCTCGCTTTGCAAGCGAGAGACCTGGGTTCAATTCCAGGCAGAGGGCGAAACCTCGGGCAAGTTTCCTTACTCCACACAGAGCCTAATAATAATCCCTCCAAAACCAAAAACAATAATAAATTGGTCATTTTCAATCCACGACTGTTTGTGGGACATCGCTGTGCGCAATCGGCCGCTGCGTTCGCCCACAAATATACAGTCGATTCACTTTACAGTGTGTTCTGTGAAGCGCTTTGGGACGTCCTCCCGACGTGAAAAGCGCTATATCAAATGCACAAATTATTATTATTATTATTAAGAGTCTCCGAACCCAACTGAGAATTCCATGCATCCCACCCTCACATGGAAATCCCCGAGATAGGTCGTCGGAGTGGAATGCCCTCTCTCTCTCTCTCTCTCTCTGTGGAAGGACACACCCTGCTGATCTAATCCTGGAGAGCATTAGGCGCAGGTTGGCGAGAGCTAAGGCTTGGCGGGGGGTGGCGGGGGGAGCCCAGAGTGTGCTTTGGGGGTAACCTGCTGGAGTCTAACCGGCTAAAACCACACAGCTCGGCCATTGAGAGGGCTGTCTGGCAAGCTTTCCCGCTGCGTGTCCAACTAGGAACACCCAGCCTGTTAGGGCTTTGACTTGCAGGGTTAACAGGAGCTGAGTGGGATGATTCCTTGCGTCCAGTGACTGATCTGCTGTTTTTTCCTGGTCCTTTTTTTTGTGTGTGTGTGTGTGTGTGTGTATGATTAATCTGCTTTTAGGTCATTTGTCCTTCCAAGTAACTTATGATAGCTATCTTGCCGACGAAAAAAAGATACACCCAGCCAGGAATAATACCTTGCAGAATTGGAACGCTCTGTGGCGTTCTGCTCAGTCAACGCCACACCTTCGTTCTTTCTGTGGTTCAGCAAATTCGTAGCATTTCAGCCCACCTTGTTGAATTCAGCCTTAAGTTGTTTATTTCTCTCTCCCTTTCCCTTGCCCCCCCTCTCCGCCCTTTAATAAAGATTCCGGAGTCCTGTAGCTCAGTGGTTCGAGCCCTCGCCTCGCAAGCGAGTGGACCTGGGTTCGATTCCCAGGGCAGGTTTCCTTACTCCGCGCACGCGCCCCTGTTTACTCAGCAGTGATTAGGAAGCCGGTTGTCAGTCGATTGTCGGATCGCTTTTTCTGGGGCCCTAATAATCCATTGAACGAGAAAGCGGTCACGTCAATCCACGACTGTTTGCGGCGGACGCCGCCGCGCGCAATCGGCTGCCGCGGTTCGCCCGCAAAATACGCAGCCAATTGACTTTACGGCATGTGCTGTGAAGCGCTTTGAGACGTCTCGAAGACGCGATGAGGCACCGTGTCAAATATTATTATTATTATTATCATTATCATTATCATTATCATTATTATTATTATTACTATTATTATTATTATTATTATTATTATTCTCCCAACAAACCCGCGGCAAAAAAGAACAGCCTCAAAAATTGGGGGCTATGTTTGGCTAAAGCCGTCGGCGACTGCAGTTGTAGGCAAAACGTAACAGGTTATTTTGCAGACAGCAGCAACATGTCCAAGTAGCCGTTGAAGCGAGTGAATGATTTCTCGCCTGGGGTTTGTCAGCCAGAACACCTGGAGAGAGAGAGAGAGAGAAACGCCCTTCAATTTTGCAATACTGCCTCAAGATCTTTCAGCTCCACCCGAACAGGCGCAGACGTGACACAACAGCACCTCGAGCATTCCAGCTCTTGTCGTCCCAAGGCCCCCAACGCCCATCCCGCCCCTACCTCCGGCGCTGCCTTGGGGCATCGGGCCTCGACTTTGTTATGGTTGGCGTGGGAGTGGGGTGGGAGTGGGGTGGGAGTGGGGTGGGAGTGGGGCTTGAAGCTTGGGCTTCGGAGACGGGAGTGTGAGCCAAGCAGACGGAGGATTTTTAGATCGATCTCTGTGGTTTGTAATAATAATGATGCTAATGATCCTTGCGTTTGACACAACCACAACGACAACAACAAGATGACATGGGTATAGCGCCTTTCACGTTGGGAGGACGTCCCAAGGCGCTGGACAGTGTATAGCATTTCAGACCCGAGCTGGGGTCAGGGGGTTGAAGGGAGGGGAGGGGAAGGGGGGGTGACCGATGGCATGGTCGAAGAGGAGGGTTTTGAGGTGAGACTTGAAGGAGGCTAAGGAGGGGGTGAGGCGGAGTGACTGGGGGATGGAGTTCCAGAGGTTGGGGGCAGAGTGGCTGAAGGCTCTCCCGCCAATGGTGGGGCGGGTGGGGCGGGGGTCGTGGAGCAGCCAGAGCCGGCTGAGCGGAGGGAGCGGGTGGGTTGGTAGGGGCTTAGGAGGTGGCAAAGGTAGAGTGGGGTGAGGCCATGGAGGGCTTTGTAGGTGAGGACCAGGATCTTGAACTGGATCCTCTGAAGGATAGGGAGCCAATGGAGTCGGGCGAGAGTGGGGGAGACGGGGTCACGGAGCTTGGTGCGGGAGAGGACACGGGCTGCAGAGTGCCTGTGGAGGGAGGAGTTGGGAAGGCCGACAAGTAGGTCTCAAAGCGCTTCGCAGGATACACTGTAACGTGAAGCGCTCTGAGACGCCGTCCGGCGTGCAGGGCGCGATATAAATCCAAGTTGCTGTTGTTGTTAACGTGACTTGACTGTGTATTTTGCGGGCGAAACGCGGCAGCCAATTGCGCACGGCAGCCCTCCGCGCACAAACAGCCGTGGATTGAAGTGACTGATTGTATTGCTTTGCATGAAAAACAAAGGCTCTGAATCCATTTCGATTGGGAGCCTTTGATGAAATGTCCGAGGGCGTATAATATCTGTCTGTTTGAGTTGAGGCCGGCAGTGAGTTGCTAGGGCATGAGCTGCGATCGCATCAGCAGTTTCTGTAACCTGAAGCTTCGTGTGATGAATGGAAACTGGTTTGGTGAGCTTTAAAACATGGGGCGTTGGGGGCGGGGAGCGGAGGAGGGAGAGGGATGCGTTAAAAAGCTCATTTTCTACCCAAACTAATGTGTCCTGACTTGGGTTCAGTCACTGACCACTGTGCAGTCGTCAAAAATAACCACAAAAGGTACACGTGAAGCACCAAATGTTTGTTGGTTCTATGGAGCAGCGTTTTGCCATAAAAGCCCTGTCCTCAGTCCTCGTTCAAATGCGTCCAAACACACCCTCTTCCCCCACCTACTGAATCACCTGGCAAAGTTAATACGCAAACATATCCTGATCCTCAAAAGACACAAGACTATAAAAATCTCTTACGCCCAGCTGAACAGGGCACAGACGGGGGGGAGCTCGGTTTTAACGTCTCCTCCAAAAGACATCGAGAGTTCCAAGTCCCAATGTCGGGGACTTGAACCCACACTTTTCTGATTCAGAGGCAAGAGTGCGACCAACTGAGCCAGGCTGACTTGTTGAATTGTTGTATGAAATCTTTGAGATAGGTTCCCCAGCCCGAAGGACCTGCATCAAATCCGAAGCTTTTTTATTATTAATATAATGTGGTGTTGCCCACAGCGTTGCATAGGTCTGTCAGCCTGGCCCGTGAGCTCCACGTGTCAGGTTTGGACTCGTAATGGTCTGTCCCAGACAAAGGCAAGTCAGCCTTCTCTGCGACGGTCTCTAGTCCCGGATCCTGAGCCAGGTGGGTCCGCAGTATTCCAGGGCGCTCACGGGTAGGGTGGTCTTAACCGGACAAGCTGCGGGAAAGCTTGCCAGACAATGTGTGGCTTTAGCTGGTTAGATTCCGGCAGTTACCCCCAACGCGCACGCTGGGCTCCCCCCAAGCCTTGGCTCTCGCCAACCTGGGTCTAATACTCTGGGGAATGAGCTAAGTAGGGTTCATCCCTCCAGGAGCGAGAGAGAGAGAGAGCATGCATTCTGCATCAAATGCAAGGATTAATATGATCATTCACCCCTCCACCGACGCTGGTTTGAACTCGTCAAGGTTAGAAAGGAATGAACTCATAGTCATATCGCTGACTTCAAGCCAAAAGCTTGTAAGATCCTTTGTGCAGTTTGCTTTTGGCTCGGCCTACAAAAACGAGATCAGAACAGTAGAGTGGGAGGGGGAGAGGGAGGGTTGGGGAACGTAGTGACACATTAATTGTAAACCGATTCCATTTCCGAGCATCGCCAACTGGAGATTTAAAAACAAAAAAAATCCAGCAATTTTCCCACCTCCCTCCCACATCCACACACACAACACTCTGCATTGTTCACGGAGCGCAGTTAGTTACCTATCTGTTCTCTCTCTCTCTCTCTCTCTCTCTCACACACACGCACACATTTTAAATGCTGAAATGTCCGTCAGTTGTCTTTGGTCCGGATCTCTTGCCTCAAAAAGCTTCCATGTCCGTGCAATTGTTCCTATTTATTCCCAAGTTGAACCTCTTACAATCCCGAAGATCAGTCAAAGGGATTTTGGTTCGTCAGTCATTGGGAGCATTAGGAAACCCATGACCGTTGCTTAAGAGTCTCCGAACCCAACTGAAATGCTCTCTCTGTCTCTTTCTCTCTCCTGGGAGGGACGCCCCCTGCTTTACCTAATTCCAATGAGTATGAGGCACAGGTTGACAAGAGCCAAGGCTTGGGGGGAGCCCAGGGTATGCGTTGGGGGTGGGGGGAGTGGGGGGGGGGGTAACTGCTGGAGTAACTGCTAAAACCGCATGACTTGCCATTGAGAGCGCGGTCTGGTAAGCTATCCCGAGAGTCTGGACTGATCGTTAATCAGTCGTGCCCCGGAGTGTGGCTGCCATACATTGAGGGACATTCACCATTTCCTCCCTTGACTCATCTCGTTCTACAATGGCACCTGCTCCCCACCCAGCATTGTGTCTTTTTTCCCCCTATTCTTGTACACCTTGGCTCCCACTTCTGAACCAGGAGACAATGTTCAAGGATGAAAGGAACAATGAGGGTGAAGCGGATTTCACAATGAGGTCTTTACTTCACCAGGTGTCGGCCCGGCTCAACAGCCGGCGCTCTCGCCTCGTGAGTCAGAAGGTTGTGGGCTCGATCGAGGACACCAAGAACCCAACTGTAGGAGAGAGGGAGAGTCACACTCGGAAAACAAAACTTGAGCAGTAGTTTGGACAAAAAAAAAGAAATTTATTTCAACCAAGAAACTACCTCTTTACGTCCGTCTTCTCTACGCTCTCCCCTCGTACTCCCAAGCCCCCATCTTTATATTGGAGACGCTCTGGGACCCACGTGAGTGGAGTCAGATAAGTACAAGTTGTTGTTGCTTCTGTTGGGGCTCAATTATGCCTGAGTTCTGATGGATGGATGGATCTCGCCTCATCCTGTGGCATTCCTTTTGAAAACTGCGGACTTATAAAGTCTCGCAGAGTGTCAGGATGAGTTCCCGGGACTGGTGCATGTTGATTGCACAGTACAGTACGATACAGATTTATACCGACATGGCACCTTTCACGTCAGGAGGACTAACAGACGTGGCGATTAATAGTCCTAAATGGTCGCCCGAGCTGGGGGTGGGAACGGGGAGGGGACAGATGACCGGAAGAGGTGTTTCTTGAGACCGACGTTGAATTTGGTGAGGGAACAAGTCTGACCATTAAGCTACAGGACTCCATAGTTTTTCCGGATGTAATAACCCCTTCAAAACGACAACCAACATTTTTTAGACGTGGTCACTCAATCAATCCACGGCTGTTTGCGCGGGGTGGGGGGACGCTGCTGTGCGCAATTGGCTGCCGCGTTTCGCCCACAAAATACGCGGTCAATTCACTTTGCGGTGTATCCTGCGAAGCGCTTCGAGACATCTCGAAGACCTGATGAGGCGACGTTTCAAATGTAAGGTCTCCCCCTTCCCGGGAATCGAATCCGGGTCTCTTCATTGGAGAGGCGAACTCTAGACGTTACTGGGATTAATGGATAATAATATTAATAATATAAAATAAACCTTACATTTAATACAGCGCCTTTCACGTCAGGAGGGCCTCTCAAAGTACTTAACAGGTAATACTGTAAAAAGGGTGACTTCTCTGCGGCTGAACCCGGCGGCCAATTTGCTCACCGCACAAGTCTCACAAGTAAGCCGTGAATTAACACGTTCTGTTGAATAAAATGGAGGTTCGATGGGCTGATGGGTCTCCTCCTGTCCTTGCTTTTCCGTGTTCCTAAAACAGACACAAGTCCGCCCTTGAGGCAAGGGAAATCGCAAAGGGGCAAAGGGTAGCGGCTCTGTAGCCTAACCACCAGGTGTCAGTGCTGCTCGAGAAGATGGAGCTAATCTGTGACCTCACCCTCAATCCCTGTTCCTGTGTGATACAAATCCTTAGGCCGTCAGGAGAACATCCCAAATAATGCCCTGGAGCTCATATAGTCTACAGGGACTTTCCAATGTCGTGCTGGGGGAAGTGATGCTCTATGGAACGCCACTCTGACTCGAGTCCTGTAGCTCAGTGGTTAGAGCTCTCGCCTCGCAAGCGAGAGGACCCGGGTTCGGTTCCCGGGCGGGTCGGGTCGGGTCAGGGCGAAACATTGGGCTAAATTTCCTCACTCCACGCACACACACGCGCACACACACGCACACACACGCACACACACAAATGCCTCTGTTTGTCCAACAGTAAGTGGGAACCCGGGTTGTTAGTCGATTGGCGGAACGCTTTTCCTGGGGTAATTAATCCCTTCCAAATAAAAATAATAATCAATTGGTCGCTTGGCTCCACGACTGTTTGCGGGGACCCTGCTGTGCGCAATTGGCTGCCGCGTTTCACCCACAAACTACACAGTCACTGCACTTTACCGTATATCCTGTGAAGCGCTTTGAGACGTCTCGAAGACGTCTTAAGACGCTGTATCAAATGCAAAGATTATTATATGACTTGCTCGCTCCCTCCCCCAAGAGAGGCCTCGAAACTCACCTCTTTTGACTGCACTTTCAGCGGTCCTCGCCCCCTCCACTCCACCATCGGCGGCCATGCTATCAGCCACTACGCCCCAAAGCTCCCTCCTTCAATCCTTTCACCTTGCTGCTTCCCCTCGTCCATCCTTCTTCAGAGCACGCCCTGAAGCCCTTCCTCTTCGACCGCGCCTCGGGTCACCTCCCCTCTCTCCCAGGCTCAGAGTTGTGCTCCAACAACAACAACTTGCACTTAATACAGCGCCCTTCACGTGGAGTAGCGTCCTGGAGCGCTTAACGGTGGCCGAGTCTGACAACAGCAGTGTTGAGCGCTCTGAGATGCTATCCAGTGTGAAGAACGCTACATAAGTGCAAGGCGGTGTTGAGCAGTTTGCATTGTATTGAAGACCCGGTGGGAATAACGTCTTCGAGACGTCTCAAAGCGCTTCGCAGGATACGCCGTAAAGCGAATTGACTGTATATTTTGTGGGCGAAAGCCGGCAGCCGATTGCGCACAGCGGCGTCCCCCGCAAACAGCCGCGGATGGATGGAAGTGACCAAATTATTATTATTTTCTTCATTTATTTTTGATTGGAAGGGATTATTACCACCCCTCTCCCAGAAAGTGAGACACCATTCGACTAACAACCGGGTTCCTACTCACTGCTGGACAAACGGAGGCGCGTGTGTGGAGTAAGGAAACTTGCCCAACGATTCGCCCCGACCTGACCCACCTGGGAATCGAACCCAGGTCCTCTCGCTCGCGAGGCGATTGCTCTGACCCGCTGAGCTGCAATAAACCACGGAGCCACACAATGGAGAGGAAACCCACTGAATTGTCTATAGACCTTTATTTCAGTTGCACAGTGTGGGCCGTAGGGGAGGGAAAAGTGGTGGAGAAATCAGCGTTGATCTATCAGTACTCCGAATCATTCCTTCGTATTCCTTCTTCAGGATTCCTTCATGTGATTTTTGTTTTAATAATTGAGGTAAAATATCATTGAAATGCATGGACGCCGTAAAAATAAACACATCCCAGCTCTTAATTTCTCTCAGTATTCCCCGAGCCTTATGCCGTCCTGGCTTTCAATGGTCTTGATGATGACAGACTTGGAGCTGCTTCCGCCCATCCTGGCTTCCATCCTGCTGCCCATATCGAATTGTCCACCTGAAACATCGGCCAACACAATTCCCAATTAGAGAGATCACAAGAGGTCTCACAACAGATCTCACGAGAGGTCCACCCAACAGCTCACCCAACTTACAAGATGTCTCAGATCTGACCAGATCACATGAGATCACTCAACAGATCACAAAACCTTCTGAGAGACTTCTTTTTCCTCCGCCACCCCCCCACTCCACTCCCCTCACTCCTCCTTCCCTTAAATTCTGCCATAACATCTTTTTTTTTTTAACCACGCTCGTAATCACCTCCCCCCCCCACCACCTCCTCTCAACGTTCCTCAGCTGCCCCACACGCACGCACGCTAATATAACGCCTTATCACGCCTTCGAGACGTCTCAAAGCCACTGAGGAATCTCGCCCGATCTTTTGCCCTGGCCGGGAATCGAACCCAGGTCCTCTCGCTTGCGAGGCGAGTCCAGGACTCAATTAGCGGCTAGCTAGCAGGTCACTGAGCCTCGGTTTGCAACCTCCCTAGCACGGGGCAACCTGGCTTTGTCGTTGACGCTAGTGGAACAGTTTTTCTTACTTCTTATTGATTGGTGGACCACGTGCACAGGGTTTCCGAGTCTGAAAGAAAGAGATAAAAGTGAACGACTAACTGGAATTTGCGACATCAAGTCGTCAACTGTTTTAGTAAACCGTAGAGCGCACACACGGGTTTATCCCTCTCCCCTTCTCCCTCCGCACCTCTCGTCACCTGCCCCGGAAATATCTTAAACCAATTTTACAGGCAATTGTTACCCAGCAACTGTGGTGACTGTACTTTGTAGGTGCGTATGTAACATCCCTTTGCAAACTCCCTGCTCGTCGGCCTCCCCAACTCCTCCCTACCACGGGCTGCAGATCATCCAGAACTCTGCAGCCCGTGTCCTCTCCCGCACCGGGCTCCGTGACCCTAAACCCCCCCCATCCCCGCCCGACTCCACTGGCTTCCCATCACACAGAGGATACAGTTCAAGATCTTGGTCCTCACCTTCAAAGCCCTCCATGACCTTGTCCCCCCCTACCTCTGTGCCCTCCTAACCCTCTACCAACCCGCCCGCTCCCTCCGCTTGTTCCACTCGCGGGTTGTTAATGCCCAACTGAACAGGGCAGGGATGGGGAGCTCAGATTATAATAATAATAATAATCCTTGCATTTGACCCAACGTCTTCGAGACGTCTCAAAGCGCTTCCCGGGATACGCTGTGAAGTGAATTGAGTGTACATTTTGTGGGCGAAACACGCGACCGATTTATCATTCATTTTATTATCATTTTTTTTCCCCGAAGGTATATCAGCAGCTCTAATTAATTGAGGGTTACCTGCTCTCCTCGCCCTCCAGGAGCTTTTTGTACGTGGCAATTTCGATGTCCAGGGCCAGTTTGATGTTCATCAATTCCTGATATTCTTTAATCTTCTTCATCATCTCCTTCTTGAGCTTCTCCAGGGCTTCAATAATTAGGCTGATGCGTTTTTTGGCTTCTGCGACAGCCATATCTCCGCGCTCTTCGGCCTCTACAATCGCAGACTCCATCTTCTGTTTCTGTGGCAAAGAGGACGGAACGGAGAGGGTCAGCACCAAACAAAACCCGTGAGTCTTTGCGGCCGTGTCACTTTGACGCTTACTCCGACATTCGCGCGTTTCTGTCATCGGTGACAATCTTTGCATTTGATGACAGCGCCTCATCGCGCCTCAAAGAGCTAAAGTGAAGTGACCGTGAAGTGTTTCGTGGGGGAAACGCGGCAGCCAATTGCTCACAGCAGTCGTGGATTGAGCGACCAAATTAGTATCATTTGGATTTAGTTTTTCGGAGGGATTATTACCCCCGGAAAAGCCATCCGCCAATTGACTAACAACCGGGTTCCTACTTACTGCCGGGTAAACAGAGGCGAGTGTGCGCGCGTGTGTGCGGAGTAAGGAAACTTGCCCAACGTGTCACCCTGACCCCAGAATCGAAACCAGGTCCTCTCGCTTGCGAGGCGAGAGGCTCTAACCACTGAGCTACCGGATACCGTTAAGCACTCACGGCAAGAGGCCAAGAGAAAAATAAAAGAGAGCGAGTGGCGTCTAAAGAGGCTTGAGGCCTTTCTCGTGACTAGAGTGACTCTCACCTGTTGTTTCAAAAGATCTATCTCCGAGTTCAATCTTAAGGTGTGTCTTCCCATGTCCGTTATGTCGATTTTCATGATCCTCAGTTCATCCGTGTAATTCCCGGCATCTTTCTTGATGCTCTCCACCTGAAACGGAAATTCTTTACTTAAGCGTTGCCGGTCGATAAGCCCGAACCATCCGAGGGCAAATAGAAAGTGATCGAGGAGGAAATCTTTGGGCGTTTGTGGTTATTTGTGGCCAGTTTCATGTCCTCTGCCCTCCTCATCTCACCATCGGTTGGGCTTCCAGCCTATCTGCCCCTTACCCTTTACTACTACTATACTAATAAATAATAATAATCTATGTATTTGATATAGTGCCTTATCACACCAGTGAGACGTCTCAAAGCTCTTCCCAGGGTACACTGTAAAGTGAATTGAGGGTATATTTTATGGACGAAACTCGGCAGCTCCTACCCTCAGCCCAGCCAGGAACGTCAAGCGCTTTGAGATGTCCTCCAGGCGTGAAAGGATTTTAACGTGAAGTGCAATGGCTGTGATACAGTTCAAGATCCTGGTCCTCGCCTTCAAAGCCCTCCACCACCTTGCTCCTCCCTACCCCGGTGACCTCCTAACCCACTAACAGCCTGTCCGTTCCCTCTGCTCAGCGGGCCCCGGCCTGCTTCACGTCCGCTGCCTTGCCCTCCGCTGACGGGCCGTCAGCCTCTCTGCCCTTACCCTCTAGAACTCCATCCCACAGTCCCTCTGCCTCGCCTCCTCCCCTCGCCTCCTACAAGACCCATCTCAAGTACCTCCTCCTCGATGGCACCTTCGGTCGCCCTCCTACCCTTTACCCTGCCCGCCCTCCACCCCCCTCCTGATCCCAACCACCAGCTCGAGTACAGACCCTCGACTGTCCAGAGCCTTGGGACGTCCTCCTGACGTGAAAGGCGCTGTGTAAATGTCACGTGTTGTTGTGTTTTGTAGGTGAGCGTGAGAGCCAATTTGTGCACCGCAACGTCTGACAAACAGCCATGTGGTGTGTGCGTGTGTCTCACCTTCATCTCATTATCCAAGGAAACCTCAGTTTTCATCTTGCCGATCATCACGTCATACTGACCACGGACCTCGCCGATGATGCTGGTCAGGTCAAGCTTACGGTTGTTGTCGACCTCAATAAGTACGTTCGTGCTATTGATCTGCTCGGACAGCTCATTGAGCTCCTGCCAGAGGCGTCCGCAGAGAGAGAGAGAGAGAGAGAGAGCGGGAGAGGGAGAGGAGAGAGGGAGAGTAAGAGAGTGGGGAAAGGGGGAAAAAATATTAAACATGCTGCATCTTAACCAACCGGACATGCGAGTTTCAACCTCCCAGTTTCTGTCGAAAGCCGAGCACAGCCATTTCCTCCAACGCCTCTCCTCCCACCTCAACCTTCAAGGTTCTGTCCTTGACTGGTTCAGGTCCTGCCTTTCACGCCGCCTCTACTTCATCGCGGCAAACGGCTTCTCCTCCACCCCCCCGGCACTGTCTCGTGCGGTGTTCCTCAGGGCTCTGTCCTCGGTCCCCTCCTCTTCACCCTCTACATGCCCCCCCTTTGGTGACGTCATCCGCGGACATGGGATCTCCAACTTGCACCAGAACAAGGCACAGACCGGATAAACGTTTCAGCCGAAGGCTCGGGTCGGTATTTACCGTGGTAAAGCTAACTTTCAGGTATTCCAGCTCCTCGGAAAGGGCTTCGCGTTTGGCCTCCAGTCTGATCCTGTTGAGCTGGCTCTCATCGCAGTCCTGCACGGCAACGGGAGGGTTAAACAACGACGATTTTACATTTACATAGCGGCGGAAAGGATGTCTCGAAAGCGCTTCGCTTTGGGAGCTGAGGGAGGTAGTGTGTTGGGGGGGGGGGGTTTGAGGGGGCTTGTAGGGTGGGTGGGTGGGTGGGGGGGGGGGAAGGTGACAAAGAATACAGTCGAAAATCCAGATGTTTGAACGTAAGGAGTCCATGATGGAATTAATAGCGAGGCGGGGGTCACGAGGTGGATTTAAGATGGATTTTAAAAGCTTCTTTGGGGCAGTCGGGGGCATCCGTGGAAACCCATCACCGTTGCTTAAGAGTATCCAAACCGAGCTGACGCATGGAAATCCCAGAGATATTTATTGGAATGGAATGTGCGCACTCTCTCTCTCTCTCTCTCTCTCTCCCTCCCTCTCCCTGGAGGGATGCGCCCCGCTTGCCTAATTCCGGAGAGCATGAGGCGCAGGCTGGCGAGTTGGGATAACTGCTGGAGTCTAACCAGCTCAGACCGCACAGCTCGCCATCGATAGCGCCGTCCGGCTAAGCTTTCCCGCTGGTTGTCCCGTTAGGATTTTAAGAGTGAGGGGTTGCATGACTCGGGCACGAGGGAGGGGAACAATAAGATAGGCAATGGGGGAATTTACTGCTTAGCAGCCCTCACTTGATTTCCCCCCCTCTCCCAATCCCTCCTCGAACCCACCTTCTTGATGAGGACAAATTCATTCTCCCTGTCGGTGCGAAGGTTGATTTCGTCTTCGTACCTTTGAAGTTGAAACGGGAAACGATTTTATTGAACAATGCTAATAATAATCCCGGCATCTGACACGGCGCCTTATCACGTCTTCGAGGCGCCTCAAAGCGCTTCACAGATTAGGCTGCAAAGTGTAGTGACGGTGTATTTGGTGGGCGAAACCTGGCAGCCAATGGCGCACAGCATCGGCCCCACAAACATTGAGCGACCAAATTATTATTGGTTAGGTTTTTTGATATAGATCCACTTCCCGTCGTTTAAAGTCCAGGTTTGTTTCAAAACCCCATAGATTGGGGCGTTGTCTTTTTGGTGGTTCAAAAATCTATTGCGTCAATTGAAATAGTCTTATTGCCCCCGAGTCAATAATTGATGGAGTTCGTCTTTGCCTTCACTTCCCGATCACTGCCTTTGTCTCTCTATCTAACTGATCTCAAAGCCCTCAGATTCCATCTGGTCGTAACTTGTGGTCATAAAACATTTAGGATCAGGTGAGGAGCTCGCTGGTTTGAATTTACCAGGACGTTACCAGGAATGAGGGGCTTCAGTTATGAGGAGAGGCGAGAGAAGCGAGGATGATTCTCCTGGGAGCAGAGAAGGTTAAGGGGAGATTTAATAGAGCTGTTCAAAATTACGAAGGGATTCGATGGGGTCAACACGGAGAAACTTTCCACTGGCGGGTGGGTGGGTAACCTGAGGACACCAATTTAAACGGTTGCCAAAAGAACCAGAGGTGGAGGTGAAGAGACGTTTTTTCCACCCAGCGAGTTGTTGGGATCAGGAACGCATTGCCTGAAAGGGCGGTGGAAGCCGATTCGATAAGAGCTTTCCAAGCGAGAAGTAGATGGACATTTGGGGAGGACAAGTTTGCAGGGAATTTGGGTCTTTAAAAGGACATTAGTCCTGACGTGATAAGGCGTTGCATCAAATCCTTGGATTTAATAAAACCCCTTATCACTTCAGGAGGAACTTCCAATCCGCTTTACATTATATACCATAAAGTTTAGTGACTGAGTGGATAAAACGTGGCAGTCAATTGCACACGGCAGCACCCCACAAACAGCCGGGGATTGAGTGACCACACTTTGTCCCTGATTATTACCCCTTGAAGGCCATCCATCAATCGATTAACAACCGGGTTCCTTCTTAGTGCAAGTTAAACAAGAGGCACGTGTGCGTAGAGTAAGGAAACTTGCCCAAGTTTTTGCCCTGCCTACCCAGGAACCGAAGCTGGGTCCTCTCGCTTGCGAGGCGAGTGCTCTAACCACTATGTTACGGGGCTCCATATTTGGGAGATTGTTGGCCAGGACTCGTATTTGATAATATATATTAATCTATAATTATATATTGTGTATATATATATATATAGAGAGAGAGAGAGCTTTCAAGGTACCTGTTCTTGCAGTCTTCCACCAGTGCTTGGGCGCCCTCCAAGTTGAGAGTCAAACTGAGTTTCTCGTTAGTTAAGGAGTCGATCTTCTGTTTGAGATACTGACAGTAATTGTGGAACAAGACATCCACATCGTTGCCACCAGATTTTCTCTTTTGCAGTTCTTTCAGCTTTTTATCCAACAGCACGTTCTGCTGCTCGAGGAAGCACACCTGAGAGACAAAAAAAAGAGAGTCGCGAGAGCGTTAACACGCACGAGGAGCTTTTTCTTTTTCGGGGGAGGTGGGGTGGGGTGGGGCAAAAAATAAAGTCAGATTTGACGGGATCGGTTAATAATCTGTCTGCGTGTTTTGCCGGCACTCGCGGAAGCCAATGTGCGTCCGTGCAAACCGCTGTGAGCTGAACGGATCTCAGGGGATTGTCGGCTCGGAGACCGAGAGAGAGAGAGACCGAGAGAGAGAGAGAGAGAGAGAGAGAAAGAGAGAGAGAGAGACATTCCCTTCTCTTTTCCAACAGTGTCGCGGGATTTTTAAAGCCCACGGATTAGGAATTTTTTCAGGCGGGACTTGAAAAGGGGAGAGAGTGGGGGTGGGGGGCAAGACGGTCGGATTGAGGGAGAGTGTTCCAGAGTTTCGGGGCGCGACCTCCGACGGTGGAGCGAGGGAGTGAGGAGGTTGGAGAGGTAGGGAGGTGCCAGGGAGTGAAGGGACGGCACCTCTGACCAGGTAGCAGTCACTCTGCCACACGGTAATAACAGTAATAAGAATAATAATTATACTCGCATTCGACACAGCGCCTGATCACGTCTTCGAGACGTCTCGAAGCGCTTCACGGGACACACACGCGCGCGCGCGGTCAAGGGAATCGTACTGCGGATCTTGCGAGCGAAACGAAAGCCACTTAACGAGAATTTGCCGGCGGTTCGGAAAAAGGTCAAATCAAACGAGCGGCCGACCTTTTGGATGAAGGATGCGAATTGGTTGTTCAAGCCTTTAATCTGCTCCTTCTCCTGGACGCGGGAGTCCTGGAACGCCGAGAAGGACAGGTGGGGCTCGTAGCTCACGCTGACACCCATCGACGGCCTGACGGCCAAGAGGTTCGCACCCCCTCGGGAGAAACCCGACGACTGGGAGGAGAAACTCAACCGCTTGTTGCCCGAGGTGGGCACGAGAGAACGGCTGCTGCTGGACATGTAGCTGGTGCTGCGTCTTGACATGGTTTTTTTTTTTCCTTTCTCTTCCCCTAAAAGAAACACACGAACCTGACCCAAAAAAAAACCTCAAAAGCTCTTCCCCCGAAAGAAATATTTCCAGGAAACGATCCAACAAAGTTTTTGTTCCGAAAGAAATCAAACAACACAACACAAAACAAAAGTTGGTCCAAGTCGGGTGGTGGTGGGGGGGGGAGGGTTTTGCGTGTGTGCCCCGAAGCTACTGAGGTTGGCAAGGGTTGGCGTGTGAGCTGTTTATACCTGTTCTTATCACCTCCAATTGGCCTCAGGGGGTGTCAGATTGCCTTTCAAGCCATATTATTGGTCTCTACTGTTCGACCAATGGATGTTCTCTGGAGGCTATAAAATTACAGCCTTTCCTTCCTCTCAGTTTCACTTGTGTTCAAAGTCAGCAGAAGGTTTGCGACTTGTCCAAAACTCTTTCCCCCCCAGAGCTATCTGTCGAGGTTTAGATCCAAGTCCTCTCTCTAGTCAACCAACTCAACCCTCCTCCCAAACCCTCGACCAGACCATCCTCTAACGATGAGTTTCGAAGTGAGGAACTTCTCAAGCGTGAGCTCTCGGAATCCCAGGCAGTTAGGTAGTGTGTGGCGCTCAGCCCCTTTGTACGCTGCCAGTGTCCATGGAGGGGGCTTTGGCAATAGGATCTCGGTGTCCCGGGGCTTTGGGGCTGGTGCCCTAGGCGCGAGTGGGGGTGTGGGAGCCTCTAGGATCCTGAGCAACGAGAAGGAGACCATGCAAGACCTGAACGAGCGTCTGTCCGCCTACCTGGAGAAGGTCCGCCAGCTGGAGGCTGCCAACAACCACCTGGAAATCGAGATCAAGAAGATCCTCGAGGTCAAGGGTAGCTGCGATCGGAACTGGAATGAACAGGAGGACATTCTCAGCAAACTTCGCCAACAGGTCATTTTTTGTTGTTGTTGCAAGCTCTTGCCTTTCCCCCTTTCCCCCAACCCTCTCTACACCCCCCCCCACACCCCCCAAAAAAAACTTCTCACTTCCCCCAAATCCCTGAACCCCTTTCTCTCTCTCTCTCTCTCTCTCTCAACTTCCATTACCTTCACAGTTTGGCTTCTCAGTAATTGTTGACAGTAATTATTATTATTCTTGTTGCTATGAATATAATATTTGCATTTTAATCCCTTCGGACATAATTATTGATAATGATAAATGCAGTCGCGCTCTCTCCCACGGCTGCTTTGAGGTTGGCCGCCCGCGTTTCGCCCACGGCGCGCACGCACGCACGCACGGCTTAATCCGCTTTACGGTGTATCCTGCGCCGTTGAGGCGTTCCGAAGCCGTGATAAGGCGCCGCATCAAATGCGGTGATTATTATTATTTAATATCGCTGCGGCACGGGCAGCCTTCTCGCGAACGCGGGCCGTCGAGCGGAAGGAGAACTCACAGAGGCAGCGGAAGAGGCTGAGAGGTTTGGCCCGATCTGTCTCACCCCCCCCCGCGCCCCCCCCCCACCCCCGCCGCCATCACCCCGACTCCCATCCCATCTCTCCCCTTCCCAATCCCACTGAGCAAATCCAACCACTCGTCTGCCCACTCTCTCCCCCCCCCCCCCGGCAGGCGCCAGGCACCGCGAGATAGCTCTGTGGGGTTTCTCTCCCCCTCCCCACTACCTGCAAAACACTGAGTGTCTGTTGTTTCCGTCGATTGGGACAGGTTTTTGAGATGATAGTGGAGAACGCCAACCTGGACCTGCAGATCGATAATGCTCAACTGGCTGCTAACGACTTCAAAATCAAGTGAGTATTTACTTGTCCTTTCACTCGCCTCTCTCTCTCTCTCGCTCTCCCTCCCTCTCCTCTCATATTTCTCCCCTCTTTCAATCTCTCTCTCTCTCTCTCTCTCGCTCTCTCTCCCTTTTTGTTCCCCTCCCTCTCTCTCTCTCTCTCTCTCTCTCTTTGTATCTCACCTCCACACCTGATAGACCAGCAGGTTAACTTATCCACCCGGGTACGCTGCTGTTATTAGAACACGCTGGTGGATTTAATCCAGTTCAATTGCAACGCTTCAAAACTCTTTGATCGCTGTTGCAATCGCGTTCCTACTCGGACTGTATCCTGCACAGCCGGACGCAGTCAGTCTGGGGTTGGCGGTGGCGGCGGCGGTGGTGGTGGAGAGGGGGCCGGGGAGGTGCGGGGGTATCTGAAGCTGGGGATAATGGGGGTGGGACCGACCGAGCGAGCTTGTGATCAGGGTGCTGTTTGCACAGGTGGGACGCTGAGCTGAGCATCAGACAGTCGGTGGAGATGGACATCAACGCTCTCCGCAAACAAATCGACGACAACAACATAGGGCGCCTGCACCTGGAGAGCGAGATCGAGTCACTGAAAGAGGAACTCATTTACATCCGCAAGAACCACGATGAGGTAAAGGCAACGCGGTAATGGCGGGCGGTGGAGGGCGCGCGGTGACAGACAGCCGACACCTCTCCATTTGTTCCCCGCTCTAAACAAACAGTTTGGGAACTTAATGACTGAAATCTGACACCGAGTCCCCTGACAGGTTCCTCAGACCAGGATCCGTCCTTTCCCGCTGTGCTTTAATTACCTGCCTGTTAGCACGGTAACTAAGGCAAGGCACAGTCACTACACTCGGCTAGAATCCCAGCGCTCCGCGACATAGCTCCGCCAAACCCTGGGCTATGTCACGCTTTCTCACCCCCCCCCCCCCACCACCAATCTTTCTTGTGTCCTTGGACGTGTTCCTATGTAAACACAGGCGGAAAAGTGTGGATGCAATACGCATTTCCATTTGCACGGCCCCCCCCCCCCCCCCTTCACACTGGGAGGGTGTCAAACAGGGTGGGCTGGGTGCCCAAGCTGAGGGGTGGGAGCCGAGAGGGATGGGGAATAACAGATGACCAAAACGTGGTCAATCCGATGGACAGTCACAGGAGACGAACGCGCGCGTGCGTGTGTTTCAATCCTACAGGAAGTGAGAGCTCTCCAGGCGCAGATCGGAAGCTCCAGTGTGCAGGTGGAAGTGGATGCCGTGAAGGGAGTCGATCTTTCCAAGATGTTGGCCGATATCCGGGCGGAGTACGAGGGTCTGGCTCAGAAGAACAAGGACGATGCCGAGAACTGGTACAAGAAGAAGGTGAGCACGAGAGCGCGTGGGCTGAGGGCACATCTCATTTAAGATGATGTGTTTATATATAAGAGGGCGACTACAACAACGACTTGCATTTATATAGCGATATAGCTCCCCTCACGCAGGGTAGCGGCCCAGAGCTCTTAGGTGGTGGGCGAGGGTGGGGTGGGGGGTGTTGCACGCGGAACAAATGGGACGTGCGGCCAAAAATGGTCACCAAGGCAGAATAATCTGCGTTCTGCTTTTAACGGGGAACCGGAGAGCTGTTCGTAAAGCAAAAGGCATCCAATTTCCTTTGGATGAGACGTCAAACCTCACGGCTGTCGGCGCGCAAATCGGCTGCCCCCGCTTGCCCACAAGGTACGCAGTCGCCGGCCTTCGCGGTGCGTCCGGTCGAGCACTTGGAGACGTCTCGACGACGTGATGAGGGGCTGATGAAAAGGGAAGGTGCTGGTAATCATCTCGAATCGTACGGGTTTTTATTGTTCCATCCAGGAATCGGAGAGGGGGGACTGATCGTTGGTCTTGGCGAGATTTTCCCTCCCCCCACACCCCCACCCCCCACCCCACCCTACCCCGCGATTTAATCGGTCTCTCTTGCCTTCGTGCTGCAGATGGAATCCCACACGATTGAAATGACCCAGAATGAGAAGGCAGTCGATGGGTTCAAGATCCAGATAACTGAACTACGCCGACAGGCTCAGGGCTTGGAGATTGAGTTGGAATCGCTGAGAAGCATGGTGAGCTTATTGAAAGCCCGAAATCCGCCCCGTCCCCCCCTCCGCCCGCCCGCCACCCCCGAAATTCCTCGTGATCTGAGCCTCCAGATCATTCCGCCTGCAAATTGAAGAGCATCTCACGTTAACTCACTGTTAACTCGGACGCCATGTTGTCGCCATACGCGAAGCTGAGAGCTCCTCGTGGCTCTTCATGATCTTGAGGGTCAAGAGGAACGAGTGGATGGTTTGTGAGGAGTAAACCCCTTAATCCCCCACTCCCCCCACCCCAAGCTATCAACTTGTCAGACTGAGCAAATTCATCATTTTTTCTTTCTTTCTTTCTTTTGTTTTTCTCAATTCCATCCAGAAAAACTCGCTGGAGAACAATCTGGAAGACACGGAGTTGAGATACCAAATAGAGCTGGATAAGTTAAACGGCCAGTACGCCATGTATCAGCTCGAAATGGATAAGGTCAACCAAGAGATGCAACGCAAAGCCAACGAGTTCAACGCCCTGCTCAACGTCAAGATGAAGCTGGAGGTCGAGATCGCAACCTACAGACGTCTGCTTGGAGGGGAAGAGGAGTAAGTGAGACACTTTAGCTTAACGCCTCCGAAAAGGGCCCATTGCGAAACAGAGGCCACTTACACGCTCCGCTGTTTGAGGAGAGACTCTCTCCTCTCTCCTCTCCCTTTCCCCCCTCGTGGCTGTTTGAAGGACGTCGCCGTTCGCGAATTGCCCGGTGGTCCTCCACTTCACTTGGAAACATCCTCCCGAGTGAAATGTCTTAACACTGGGATTGTTTTTCTTTTCCAGGAGGATCATGGAGACGATCAAAGGTAAGATGAGTAAATCATTATAATGCTAATGCTAATAATAATTCATTGAAATGGTAATTGCTTTGAAAGTTTGGAGACCCCGTAGCGTTGTGGTGAGAGCGCTCTCCCCTCACAAGCGAGAGGACTTGGGTTCGATTCCCGGGCGGGACAGGACAGGGCGAAACCTTAGGCAAGTTTCCTTACTCCACGCACGCACACCTCTCTTTACCAAGCAGTAAGTGGGAACCCGGTTGTTAGTCGATTGGCGGATGACTCCCCCACGATAGCAATCTCTCCAAAAAATTGGTTGCCGCTTTTCGTCCTCAAAGTCCGCGTTCGATCGCTTTAGGTGTACCCCGCGAAGTGCTTTGAGACGTCTCGAGGATGAGCTTCTCTTGCGATGCAAAGTGAGGGCTCGATTTGCTCACAGTTCGAATGTCCCTTTTTACAGAACCCGTAACTCAAACCATCGTAAAGACCATTGAGATCACCCAGCAGTTAGTCGACGGCAAAGTGGTGTCGGAGAATGAATCCGTGATCCAAGGCTAACCGTCGACGGGTCCAGCCAGCCACGCCTAGACACGCCCGTTTTCGCAGCTTAACGGGAGCCGAAGCTTTTTGTTTGAACATGTAATGCCTTTGCTTCTCATCGATACTTTCGAAATAAAATTTTCGCTCTGTAATTCCTTCTGGTTCGGTCTTTTCTTTCAATGGGAGGCTTCGAAAGTGAGGCCAAGGGTCTGGGACGGAGTCGGGGCGTTTCTGAGGGAAGAACGGAAGAATTTGCCGGGCAAAAGAGGACCAAAGTCCATCTAGTTCGCCTTCAGCACTGACGTGTCCTGTCCCCAAACTATACACTGGGTCTCCAGATATTATTTTCCAGCAGAAATCTATCTGATTTGTTCTTGAAACAAATAATATTTTCTGCTTCCACCGTCTCTCTGTCTGTCTCCCTGTGGAGCCTGTTCCATAAGTAGTGTTTCCGCAGGTTGGTTCTGAATTTACTCCCCCCTTTCAGTCGTGGGCCGCGTCATAAAACAGCTCCGTTATCTATTCCCTTCAGAATCTTAAACACCCCAATTATTGCTCCTCAACCTTCTCCAGTGTGAACCTGCCCCGTTTATCTATTCGCTCCTTAATAGTCCATCCACTCAATTATTTTTGCCTGCCTTCCTCTGTCGTCAGCCTCACTAATTGGTCATGGGCTTCGTGGCTCTTCGGAGCAGGAGGAGGCCATTCAGTCCCTCGAGCCTGTTCCGCCATTCTATAAGATCATGGATGTGCCTCAATCATGGATCAGGTACTTCAACTCCAATTACCTGCCCTTGCCCCACATCCCTCGATACCCTGACCTAACAGAAATAATAATAATTTGGTCACTCAATCCACTACTCTCTGTGGGGACCCTGTCCGTTTCGCCCACAAAACACGCAGTCACTTCACTTTACAGTATATTCTGCGAAGCACTGGTTGTCGTCAGTGTTGGCTGATGCTTTCAACATAACTGTGCGTGACAGTAAATTTGCTGAACCTCAAGCCTTGTTGAGACAAGGAGGGAAATCCTGCTCTCGTTCCCTTCATCCCTGTTCCTAACGGCTCCGGACAGGTCAGGAAATAATCCCGGAGAAGGAAAGTCGATCCGATGAGGAAAATGTACTGTGGCAGGTTTTAAGTGTAAGATGCTAAAGGGTGAGGGGGGGTCAGGCAACGTAGATCACGACAGGTTGTTTCAACTCGTCCAGAAGAGTAAAACCAGAGGACACAAGGCCTGCGATCAACTGTGTTTTGGAGGCAACCGGTAAAATTGATGAGTTTTTTTTCTCTTCCCCCCCCCACGCGCCCCACCGCCCTCGGGGGGAAAAAAAAATCCAAGTCTATTCGTACTTCAAACGACCTCCGGTTGCATGTACTGACCAGGTTTCGTTGCTGAACCAAATTCCTTTCCTGTAATAGTAAATTCGTGGAATCGCATCGCAGTTCATCGGATAAACAGGAACTCTGCGATCTCAACCGCAAAGAAACATCACCACCGTCCACCCACCACCCCCACACCCCCACCACCACCATTCAAGTTAATTCATGTAAAGGTGTGTTCAATGAGCCAAACTTGGGCTGTATCCTGTAATCACAAAGTACTTTCCGCCCCAACACTCGTGGAACCCACACAGTTAACGCAATTGACTCCTCGCTTGACCGAGAAGCCAGAAGAACAACAAGCGCTTGCACGGGCCCTTTCAAGTGGGATAGAGCGCAGTACGGTCGGGGAGATTGACCTTGAGCTGGGTGGGGGGTGGGGGTGGGGAGGGGAGAGAGGTTTACAGTTACAAAGGAGGGTTTTCTTTTCCCAAAGGGTAATTAACGTGGGTGAGGCCAGGTCTTGGTAGTGTAATAGGAAGCCGGCAGCTATCATAGAGGCCTCAGTCGCAGTTGAGATGTAGCCAAGGTGTAATAAGGCGCTATATCAAAAGCAAGTATTATTATTATTGGGTGTTGATGGGGGATGTCAGTTCGTCTTTAATCACAAATGAATGAGACATTAATCTGAGTTCCCGGTTGGTCTGCGGAGGGGGTGAAGTGAAGGTCCAAATCGCCAAGGATGAGGAAGCATTCAAAGTCCTCCGCGGTCTTGCTCACTCTCCGACCTCCTAACCCTCTACCATCCTGTTCGCTCCCTCCGCTCAGCGGGCTCCGGCCTGCTTTACGCCCCCACCCCACCGCCTCGCTCGCCCCACTATTGGTGGGCAGACCTTCCGCCACTCTGCCCCCACCCTCTGGAACCTACAACCTTTTTACCTACAAAATACACAGCCCACACCCGCCGCAGTAAAACTTTGCTTTGAGAATCTAAAGGCGATGTGGAAAACGATTATCAAAAGCATAGACGGCAATGGAAACTCAGCACTGAATCATTTATAGGCAGCGGACAGGCTTTAGGGAGTTTAATCTGAATGAGAGCTTCATAGGACGTGAAACTGTGAGACCAAAGTTTGCCCGGGGTAAGGAAACCCGATCCAGGGATTTGATCCCACAGTCCAGGCTGATGCTCTGGTGCAGTGCAGTGCTCGGTGGAGAAACACTGCACCGTTGGAGGTTCCGTTATTTGGATAATAATATTATTAATAATCCTCGCGTTTGACACAGCGCCTTATCGCGTCTTCGTGGCGTCTCAAAGCGCTTCGCGGGATACCCTGCATGTGCGAATTGACTGTGGGGTTACGCGGGCGAAAGGCGGCAGCCGATTGCGGACAGAAGGCGTCTCCGCAAACGGTCGGGGATGGGCCTTCTGGAGAGATGCGATCAAACGGGCCAAAGGGTCTTCTTCATCCAAACCGATGTCCCGACGATAAAATGGCAGAGAGCGGCTCCGAGGCTCAGCTGGTGAGAAAATCCACATCAAACCGTGCGAACGGCTTCATAAAAACACCAGGAGGTGCCATCTTGTGTTTATTGTCCACAGGGTCAGAAGGAGCTTTTGATCAGTCGCCAAAGTTGTTATCTTTAATCTCGAGTTCTCCGTATTGTGTTGCACATTCATGGAAGAATTGAAATCCGATCCAGGAATTCATTTCCTCAAAGGCTCCTCCTCACTACTCACCCACACCACCCCCTACACCCCACCCACCCCCACTCCTATCGCCCCCCCCCACCCCCCAACCCCACCCACCGCACCCTGAATCAGAATTGTCCTTGGCTTTGTTTAAGAACTATCATTCGAGGTGAGGGAGTGAGTCAGACAGAGAGACAAGAGAGTGAGACTCTGAGACAGAGAGAGAGAGAGAAGCTGAGAGAGCGAGACAGAGAGAGACGGAGAGACAGAGAGAGAGAGACAGAGAGAGAGAGAGTCGATGTGTTTACTGTAAAGTGTAGTGTAGTGACGCGTATTTTGTAGGCGAGAGCGGCAGCCGATGTGCGTACAGCGACGTCCTACAGAATGGCCGGAAATTTCCTCCTGCGCGTTCGTCGCGAGACCCAAAAAAAACCGCGACTTTTCGTAAGCGACTCTCGATGAGATAAACATAAAAATGTCAGAGTTTACACCCTCCATCCACCGGGTGTAAAGATGTCACCTTTGCACCGAGTACGTTCCGAGTGCGAACTTTCGTAAAAAAATGTCACATTGTCAGTTTTAGTCCTTGAGATCAGACACTTAAAGCTTAAGACACCCGCAGGAAGCACAGAAAACCCTTAACGTTAACATTTCTGAAGTCCTGTGGCTTAGAGCCCTCTCGCCCCGCGAGCGAGAGGACCTGGGTTCGATTCCCGGGCGGATCAGGTCGGGGCGAGACATTGGGCAAGTTTCCTTACCCCACACACGCACACGCACACGCACACGCCTCTGTTTGCCCGGCAGTCAGTCGGAACCCGGTTGTTAGTCGATTTGCGGATCGCTTTTCCGGGGGTAATAATCCCTTCCAAAAAATAATAATAATAATCATTTGGTCACTCAATCCACGACTGTTTGTGGGGGATCGGCTGCCGCGTTCCGCCCACAAGATATACGGTCAATTCACTTTACAGTGTATCACGTGAAGCGCTTTTAGACGTCTCGAAGACGCGATGAGAGGCGCTGTGTCAAATGCGAGGATCATTCTCACTGTCGCTATTATTTTTCGGAAGCTTCCGAACCAAAAGAGAATTGAAGGCTTTTCCACAGTCCCTGTGCGCTCTTGGAGCTTAGAGGCGAAACACCTCTAAACTCAAGACCAGGTGGAATTCGGGGCCTGTGGCGTATTTGCTCTCGCATTTTCCAGACATTCCTGAAGGAGTTTATAATAACAGGGGAGCGAATCATTCCATTCCAGATTACGGGTTCCCAGGTTGCAGATTGCTTTCCGAACCTCTCCGTTGGGTTGTCTCTGAGGCCTAATGTTTGATTGATTTACAACGCACCTTAAGCCCTCGTTACAGGACATATTTGCACTCACAAACAGCCGCGAAGCGAGTGACCGATTTTTTTGGGGGGATCTGGAGGATTCTTGGCCGGGACGCCGGGCCGGGTGGGCGGGCGGGCGGGAGAGACAGATAGCCTGAACGATTCCCAGGGAGGAATCTTATCGTTGCACGGGCGGAACGGTAAATAACGGCGGCCTTTCGCGACATCTCCATCGTGATCAATCCCGATTAAAAAGCTGAGTGAGTCAGGGAGAGGGAATGTGCCACTCTGATCTCGATCGCACCACCTCCGCCCGCGGATACCTGAGTTACAATCAGTGCGACCGACGAGATAACCCTGGCAATAATAATAATAATAATAATAATCACGGTGATCCTCCCAACCAACTCTGACTTCGAGAGGGAGACCTCGAAGCTCTTTACAGGAATCTCCCTGACACCAGAAGAGAGAGAGAGAGAGAGAGAGAGAGAAACTGCCTTCTCTTTTCAAGCAAGGCCAAGGGATCTTTAATGTCCACCTGAACAGGGCTCAGGCGGGGGAGTGAGGTTTATCTTCTCGGAGAGAAGCCTCTGGCAATAGCGCAGCAATAATATTTTCCGTGTCTTCGAACTCAAGGTTGTCGGAACCCCCGGCAATTCACGTGTAATTTGGAACGCCGTCTCTGCTCCTAACCGCGGAAAAGAACAGCTTCCCGAAAGTAGGCGGAATGGACTGCAGGATTTTTTCCCGACGGCTGACCGTCTTGAGTTGTACGACGCAAGAGAACCCTGCCAGGCTGAGACCGGGT